GTGTGATCTTTCAGCACAGCCGCTCTCCACCTCCGTGCCCAAGATCCTGTCCAGGATGTTCACGTCAGGGTGATGAGCTACTTGTAGGCTTTCAATCCAAACTAACCCTCTGCAGTGGCTGCTCTGTCCGAGTGTCTGCTCAAGAGGCCACGTCTCCGGGGGAGGACTTGCAGCTGGGTGCCTGTGGAGGAAGCTGCTCAGTGCCAGGCAGGGGGTCAGCAGGGCTCTGTCATGGTGTGTCCTGCTGCTCTGTGGCCCTAATGGGTCAGTGGGGTCTAGACATTGGTGTCAGGATGGAGAGCAGGGGTCACCTTCCACATTAAAGCCAGGTGCATCGTAAGAATTATTAAGATATGGTAAAAAGACAAAGACAGGGTTTGTCCTGTGCAGTGCATGGACAAGGGCCCTGAGCCGGCCGTGTGGCCCTCAGTCACCACTTCCTCCTGTCTTCTGCTTATTTTCTTATGAGAAGTAACTGGCTGAGAGCGGGCAGCGTGGGACAGGGGCCTCAGTGGATGGTGGAGAGCGGGCAGCAGTCTCCCCTCGGCTCTTCATTCCGTCTTCACTTGGGGAGGCTAAACATCACTTCTTAGTGAGAAAGCGACAGACCTGTGCTCTGGTCTGCACAGAGGTCCCCAAGGCCTTGGCCACGCAGGAGGACCTGGCCAGGGCTGCCGACTCCCGGGACAGAGCCGTCTCTGGTTAGGCAGGAATCCGCCCAGGGTGGGGGGCACTGGTGGGCTTGCTCCCTCACTTCAGCCCCACGCTGGGCTCTTCTCCCTTCCTGCACTTCGCAATCAGCACCTCTGGGGATGGGGACAGTGAGCATCTCCATCATGACCACTCAGGCTCCGTTCCTGTGCTTGCTTCAGGGCCTCCAGCAGGCAGAGAGGAGGCTGGGGTTTCCAGGGGGACGGCACATCTCTGGAGGTGGAGGGCGCAGACTTGGACGATTTTCAGAGTCTGCAGCAGATTAAACGGAGACCCTCTTTTCCTGGCACTTTCAGTCACCCTCCAAGCTGCAGCTGTTGACCACCATCGAGGGTCTCGGGCTTGTGGCTGAGGGCGAGCACGGGGACTTCCTTAACGCTCTGCCAAGGTGCCCTGAGTCTGGAGGCTCCTCTTCATGTACAGACATCCCGGGAAAGCCTGGGTCGGAACACAGGCCAGCTGTTAGAACACCTTAGGCGTGTCCAGCAGGAACAGTGGCATGGCACAGCCTGGATTCATGAGCGGGACCCTTGGGGTACACCTGGGCATCGCAGGTGGACCATCTCCCACTGTCCCAGGGTGGCCTCCCTGTGGGCTCGGCGCCTGCAGAGGGACTCGGCACAAGCACCTCCCACAGCAGGAGCAGGGTCTCTGAAGGCCAGGTCTCTAGGCAGCAGGACTCGAGCCCACTTGTCTTGCTTACAGGTGAGAGGCTGAGGTGGGTGAGGGTCTGCTTGCTGGACATAGCTTTCCTGACCTCTCCAGCACGGTCAGAAGTGGAAGTCTTTGCTCGTCTGGTTTTGGGTCACTGCTTTTCACGATTATTTCATTGCAGACACCTAAAGTGATTCATCGTTCATGACGCGGACGCTCCACTGCGCGGGTGGCGTCTGTTTTCGTGCAGCCCTTCCCACCTGGCACCAGTGCTCTGTGTTGTGGGGTGCAGCTCCCAGTGCTCTGGGTGCAAAGCTCTGCTTATCACTCAGTAGGAGCTCGGGTGCAATTCCTTTAGCCACTTGTGCCCAGTGCCCTTGGCCTGCACGACTTAAGTCACCACCTGGCAGCGTTATTATCTTCTAAGAATCAAGGCTGGTTGGCTTGTAGCTCTCACACCGGGAGAGTTCTCCTGTGGTGCACAGTTCAACGAGTCTGGTGGCTGTGCCAACCCATGTCCCGAACATGCTCCAGCAGCTCACTCCCACCCCGCACCGGGCTTCTGCAGGGGCTCCTCCCTGGACACCACATGGGAGGGTGGACTCTGTCCTGCAGTTTTGCCTCCTCAGAAGGTCCCAAGAGACATGGCACGGGGTGCCCTAAGAGAGTACATTCTTCCCTTAGCAGGGAGCCTCTGCAGTCTGCTTGTGCCTACAGAGGTGAAGTGCTGCTCCCGGGGCTGCAGGCTCTCAGTCCAGCTGCTGCTGGTGCAAGTCTCCAAGGCCACCGGGGTCTTGTGCCATGAAGCACCATGCACAGCCCTACATGAAGATGTTTCCAGTGATGA